ATGCCTCATTTTGAATCCTTAAGCTTGAGGCATGTGCTGCAATCCCAGCGTAACGACGTAAACACAGTCTTTCAGGATCGCAAAGAGGAAATAGTTGAAATGCAAGCCGAATACTTTCAGACTTTTAGTCGATTTTTTTTTTGCTTTGATTATTTTTGGGTGTTTTTGTTTTAAGCATTTTCCTTCAAACTCTGAATCAAAACGTTGCGACTTTCTCTTCACCTTTCCGCCATTTTGTTTCGTTGTGCTTTTGCCGACTTCAATCAATTAAATTTCAACATTTTGCACTGTTCGGGATTAATTTACGTCATCTCGGCCAATGAGCATCCTAACATATTTGCAAGGAGAGGCATATTTTGTTAAAATGTCAATCTAGGTGTCGCTTTTATTTAACTGTCGACTGCTTAACCGTCAAACAGGGAGCCTTAGACCTCTTTTTTCAGATGAAAGTGAAGAGATTAACGGTTTAACCTTCAGGCTTCTACATTCTCCTTTTCAGCACCTCAGGAAATGTATGGAGAACAGTATGGAGAAAACACATACTAATATTAGGTTGTAAAGGGTTAGATGACGTAAACTTTACTGTCTGTACCTACGTAACGCCAGCAAGCCGCCGCACATGTCGACTTTATGGACATTGGCAATTTTCTCGGGTTTGCCGGTAAACGATGATCAGAATACATGGAAAAAGAGTTTTGGCGGTTTTAGCCTTTTTGATGGCAATCTATGTATTTTTCCAACTAGGACTTATACGGAGTACCCGTTCCTCCTTCTCTGACATTGTTCGTGAACAACTAGATGTCGAAAACGACGTGCGGCAGACGCCATTACGAGAACTGAAAGTGAATCACACGACAACTCCAACTTCGCAAATCAATTACAAATCATTTCTTATAACCAGGAGATCTTGTATGCAACATTACGATCTTCTTATCATTATCTCATCCGCTCCAAGTAATTTCGGAAGAAGGAATAACATTCGTAAGACATGGGCATTCGAAAGATCCGCAAAACCAAGATGGACGTCCGTTTTTCTGGTCGCTCAAACACGGGATGAAACAGTTTCAAACGTCCAAAAATCACAAAAATCACAAAATCCATTAGATCTGCAATCGTGAAAGAAGAGTGTCTTTCTCTTGCTCTTCTTGAAGTACAGACAGGCCAAGTCGGTCTAAACAGCGACAACAGAGGTTATGCCGGCAGAAAACACTCAGTACTCTTGCCACAGAACCGATTTAAAGAGCCTAAACAGCAGGAAAAATAAGGCATTCCAGAAGCGAGGTAGTTCTACGTCACCGAAACTATTCCGTCTAAATAACCTACGGGTCAAGAAAGACCTCGAGCTTTGGCTAAAAACGCCAAATGCAAAGGTTTCGACCCTGGAAAATAGACAACCGTCGTGTTTCTCTCCGTAAGCGTCAGTCCATGGTTTTGGAAATGGGTCTTAGATTTAGACCTCCGCTAAGGCATCCGCCTGCGGCCCAGTTTAATATACAAATCAGAGACAGTCGAATCCAAATGCTCACACGATTAAATTCCTTCCCGTCGATAACAAGCTTAGGCCGGCGCTTCTGTCAACAGATTGGGTGTAAATCGAGACACAGCCATCTGCACGATGAACTTTACTATTCCTGGGTCATTTTGAGGGACTGGTATGTTTGTCATGACAGTAGAATAAAGCGCCAACGATAGCTTATGTAAAAGTTCTGTCAGTTAATCGTCTTTTTAAAAAATAGCAAGATTCCTGCGTGGTTGCGATCATTAAATGACTCCGGCTCAACACTCCCCACTTCTTGAGTGCTCTAGCCGCTTCCTAAGTGCTTTAAAACAGAACAGAGCAGAGTCAAGACTTCTCTCTTTGTTTTATAATAAAGAATCCGCTAAATTTACCAAGCAAAATCCCAAGCACTACTTTCAATTTATAAAACAAACTTTATTTCCAAACTGAACGACAGTGTCGTAAGCATGCTCTATACCCTCACAAAGCACGCTACAATAAGCCAATCAGAATCCCTGTCAGAATGGTTCGAATAATCTCATTGGTTGTACAAGACAAAAGCTGTCAAAAATGTCAAACCATCAAAGTGAAAAACCATGAAAGTTCCCATCTGCAGTAGTTGTCTGTCTGAAGTCTTTTAGTCTCTAATACAGAATCTGAAAGTGAAATGTACATTGAAACTCGGCCGAATTGTGGCTCATAAAAACACGCAAGGTTTTCACATGACAAGTAGAAAACAAACAGTTCAAGGCGAGTGTTTTATGAATGAACAACAGTCGAATTCACCGGAACATAAAGATCGCTCGGGATGACAGCGCCGTGACACTCGGCTGCAGTGACTGATGTGGCCTTGCACTCAACGCATGGGAAAGGATATCAGAGCAAGCTTTTATTTTTCACTCGAAGAGCGGCTGATGTAGTACCTGAGGCTTTCTTCATTGCGATGACCGAAGATCGCTAGATGAGCTAACCGCAGTGGACCTCAGCGTGATCGCAGTCGCTCTGACACCGGCATGATTAGTATGAATTTTAACAGTTATGCTAGTTTGGTTATATTTTTCATAATTCCTGTTTTGTTTTTGATCACGAAACTTTACTTACTATACGAGTGCTAGCTGTGTTTGATTTTTATTACCTTACATAAGTTTACCATCTAACTAAGTGTGAAAACCTCTAAAACTCGGACTGTCCATTTCGTTTTCTCCTTGAGGATTTTCGTTTCTACTCACGTTATAATAAAGTAAATTACGGCGCTTAGCCTTTTTAAAAACCTTTGTCTGGTTCTTCTGTTGCTACTTGCCGGCTCACTTGTTCTGAAATTTCACTTTCAATTAACGAAAAAAAGCCAGAGAGAAGTCCCGGAAAAGGTCAAACATAGTAAAATTTGGCAGATGGCGTGACAGCTTTAGCTCAGCTCTATCCTCCATACTCTCATAGAGCATGCTCTTTCAACCAATGACAGCACGCGTTGTATCCGAACTTTATTCTAATTCTCTTTAGAGCGAGATGGGTTTGTGATTAACTTATAATTTAATCAGAGTGAGATAATCAGCGGAGATAAGAAAAACAGACTGCACAAAAATCCAATCAGATTGCAGGCTCGTGACAGTACCCTCTAAGAAAAAAATAAAGTTCGTTATCAGTGTCATCGACTCGCAATACTTAGTTTGCCTTGTGTAAGTTTAGACCTTTTGTTAAACACTGCCCAGCCGCTAAATTGATAGAATCTCGCCGCATTTTTACTTCAGTTTACGATAGTTTATAATAAATCGCTGATAAACGTCCACTTTGGTTTTCCCTGTTTTATTTTGCCTTAAAGACGACCCATGAAGATGTCACACTCGCTTAGCCTTTGTTTTCGTTTCGTCTCGTTTAAAAAACTTAGCAGTCGCTATGAATGCTACAGTAAAATATCGCCACTTCATTCCACCTTCGGTTATGAATACAATTTGAACTTCGTCTTGCTTTAGAACTTTGTGTTGAGGAATAGCGTTGAGTATTGTTAGTGCGCCAGAATTCTTTCCTAACCACACGCCATGATGATCCGTACTACCGCAACACACCATAAACATCACCCAAGAGCATGACAGGCATCGAGTCTTCCTGTTTTGGAAATTTTTAAACCAAAATAAAAAAGAGGAAAAATGAATGAGAAGGGGGAGGCTCGTCATTTGGAAATTAAACTCACTAATCGAAATTCCGCCTCTAAGAGATTAAGGAAACATATTCAGTATTCTTTCTGAAAGAACGAACGCGTAAAGTGACTCTATGTAACAGGAAGAGAGATTTCACTTGGACCAGTTGAGGAATGAGTTCAATGGCGCGCGTAAAGATTATGACGTTTTGTTAGAATTAGAGGAGGAAAAGAATACATCGTATCAACTATTATGTCCAGGACTATCAATTCTTCGAATGTAGAATTAGAGTGTAAGAAACCTATTTAGGCATTAGATAAAAAATACAGTCTCACACCGTCTCAGAAAATGAGCCACAGTAAAAGGTCCAATTCAACTGACAGGACAACATTCAGTTCTTTCTCTACGAAACATCTTTCTCGAAAAGGAAAAAGATTCGAGAGATTAAAAAGATTTCCTCCAGAATATATCAGCGAGCTATAAAGAGGAGGTCAGAAGTGTCAAGAAAAAATTAAAAGTGGACGAAAATATCATACAAGAGCGAAATCTTTTCTGTCAACCTGCGTGCTGCATTCTTATGCCATCCTATGCCTCATTTTGAATCTTTGACGGCTCAGGGCCTGTGCTACAATCCAAGCGTAACGATGTAAACACAGTTCTTCAAGATCGCAAAGAGGAGACAGTAGTTGAAGTGCAAGCGCTTTCGTGTTATCATCCATCCTGAACCACCTAAAATTTCATCCCGTCGTCAAACAGATCAGACCTGCTCCTCTGTAGCGGTTAGCACACTCCAGTCGAGTGCAGCGAGTTTCTTGAGAAGTCCTATTCAGGGCCTTCAGTTCATACTTTCGTATTCGCCTAATACTTGCAGACTTTTGCCCAGTCTTTTTGTCACTTACTAGGTTTTTCATTTTTTTTTTAAGCTTTCTCCCTCAAACTGTGAATCAAAACGTTGCTACTCTCTCTTCACCTTCCGCCATTTTGTTGTGCTTTTGCCGACATCAATCAATTAAATTTCCACATTTTGCACTGTTTGGGATTAATTCAAATGTTCTCGGCCGATAAGCATCCTGATATTTTTGCAAGGACAGGTATATTATTTTAAAATTTCAATCTAAGTGCCGCTTTTATTTAAATGTCTATATAAAAGTGAAGAGATTGACAGTTTACCTTAAGGCCTCCACATTCTCCTTGTCAGCACCTTAGGAAATGTATGGAGAACAGTTTGGAGAATACTTGTACTAATATTAGGTTGTAAAGGGTCAAATGACTTAAAATTTGCTGTCTGTTGTTACGCGACGCCAGCGGGAAACTGTACACGTCGACTTGATTTGCATACGCACTTTTATCGGATGTGCCGAAATACAATGATCAGAAAAAGAGTTTTGACGGTTTTAGCTTTTGTGATAGCAATTTGCGTATCTTTCCAGCTAAGACTTATTTGGAGTACTCTTTCCTCCTTTTCTGAAATTGTTCGTGCAGAACTAGATGTCGAAAACCATGTGAAGCGGATACAATTACGAGAACTGAAAATGAATCAAACGACAACTTCTACTACGCAAATTAATCACAAATCATTTCTTATAACCAGGAGATCTTGTATGCAACATTACGATCTTCTTATGATTATCGCATCCGCACCAGGTAATTCTGAAAGGAGGAAAAACATTCGTAAGACATGGGCATTCGAAAGATCCGCAAAACCAAGATGGACGTCAGTTTTTCTGGTCGCTCAAACACGGGATGAAACAGTTTCAAACGGGTTGCTTGACGAAGATGAAGCTCATAAAGACCTTGTACGAGCTAGCTATTATGACCACTACTGGAATCAAACCCGAAAGATACAAATGGGCTTCGAATGGGCAGTAACGTATTGCGATTTCTCGTTTCTTTTGAAGTTGGATGACGACGTTTTCGTGCACGTTCCAAGAGTTCTCTCCTTCTTAAGCGCACCCACCACGCCAAAGAAGATGTTTTACGCTGGCAATCATTACAGAAATCCTGTTCCTTTTCGGGGAGGAAAGTGGAAGGTAACTTACGAGGAATACAACAAGACAAGATATCCAGATTTTTGCCCCGGTTTTGGATACATTTTATCTCTCGACGTTGTGCGTGCATTTGTCGACACTTTCTCTTCCTTGCCGTTCTTTAGACTGGACGATGTTTATGTTGGCATGCTGGCGAGTAAGAACGGAATAAATATCACCAACAATGTGGGTTTTGAAGTATTGCATCCACCCCAATATGTATGTGTTCCAACAAAAGATACTTTAGTCAGGCATGATGTAGAGGAAGAGTGCCAAATGAAAATGTTTAACTTAGCCATTTTCTCTCGGTAGCTCGATGGCGTGGTTAGTACATGCGTATATGTAGATAAATTATTCAGTGAGTGATGTTTCCCTGTTCAATATATATCCGTTGTACATTTGAGTGCAGCCATTTAAAGCTATTTCTGTTTCGAATGGGCGTTGCTCGAAGAGTCAGAACCAGGGCATTGGATGCTACAACATTTACCGACAATTAGGCTGAGTGTCAGAGCAAGCTGTATATCTGTCACTATTAGCAGTAGATATCGAGATACGACTATCGCAGTTTATTATTTTATGGTGAATGTTATTGAATTTTATTGCTTCCTCGTTCTGTAAAGATTTATTGCTACTTTAAATATATTTATTTTTCCTTAAAAATGCACAAAAAGTGACTGTGGAGAAGCTCGTTGGGTAAATTAGTACAGTTTGTATTACAATGTTTTGAAATACTCGGATAATGTTATTATAATGCTATTTACAGCTATTTTCGTTTTCAATGTGCTTTGCTCGAAGAGTCAGAATCAGTGAATGTAAGACAATCAAGACTTTCTATTCTTTGATCCAGAGACATATAGGGTTAAGAAGCGAGAGACATGGAACAATTTATTTCAGGAATGTACTTGATATAATGAACTTTTCCATCGGGTTTTCAAGCGATATTAAAACATTGACTCATACATGTAACCAAAGGTTACTCAACGGAGCTATTCCGTTTCAGTGTAGAACAGAAACTTTCACTCTTCAAAAGAGGTCAAATAATCTCTAAGCCTTTAATTTTACTTTTGCCAGTTGAAACAGAGTTCTAATCATTATGCTCTGTAATGCTGACTAAAAACCTGGTTTTGATGTAAAAAGATGTTGGTTGGAGTATTTATATTGTTGCATATTGTCAGTTTAGAGTTCATAAACTCATATCAATTCAATTCAATTTTACTATTTTTTTTACTATTTACAGCTTAACATCTACTGCTCGCAGATAGCAACAGCTAGTCGAGGCGAGCAGTAGTTTCACGCATACCAATAAAAATTTTACAGTAACAAATTAAAGAAAAGAAATAAATATACACTCGATAGTTATGCTCAGTAATGCTGATTAATAACCTGGATATGGTATAAAAAGATTTTGGTTAGATTATTCCTGTTGTGTTTTATTGCCAGCTTAGAATTCATGAACCCATATCCTGCGTGAGTTTCTAGCGGTCAATTCATTTTAAAACCTGCTTATGTCATTAAAACGTTGAATGGACTCGTGCCTGCACTCCAAAATAGAAAACGACTCAGTGTCTTCACTTTAAGGAAGAAATGCCTCACTCGTACATGTACATTATGTGCCATGAGGCAGCATGACGTCGATGCTCCACATCAGTCTAAAACAAAGATTCGATGTTGTTATTCAAAAAGCAGAGTAGAAATGCTGCCTTCTCCACAGACAAGTTTAGGACCTCCATAATGCCTTGTAGGGGATGAGATGTGAACATTGAAGGCACTATTGCCCAATGGAAATCTTTTCTTTTACAAGAAGAGGAAGTCATTCCTGAAAAGTACATGGTTTTGGGAATGAGTCTTAGATTTAGACCTCCGCTAAAGCATCCGCCTGCGGCCCAATTTGATATACAAATCAGAGATAGTCGAATCCAAATGATCACACGATCAAATTCCTTCCCGTCGATAACAAGCTTAGGCCGGCGCTTCTTTCAGCAGACTGAGTGTAAATTGAGACACACAGCCATCTGCACGATGAACTTTACTTTTCCTAGGTCATTTTGAGGCACTGGTATGTTTGTCTTGACGGGACAATGCATGGGTAAAGGGGGTAACTTTCTAAAGCAACTGTGGTGCTGCGTCGGTGGGAGTGTGTAACAGGGTAATTTAGTCTTATCAAATGTGTTGATAACGTAAATTAGCCATCGTAAAGAGTTAAAAAGCTGACGTTTCGAGCGTTAGTCCGTCTACATTTCCAAGGGTACACCGTCTGTTCGCTGTTACGGTAGCGACGAGGAAAAGAATTCATCATATCAACTGTTCGATATCCAGGACTGACAATTCTTCGAAAGTAGAATTAGCGTGTAAGAAACCTATTTAGGCACTAGATAAAAAATTACAGTCTCAAACCGCCTAAGAAAATGAGCCACAGTAAAAGGTCCAATTCAACTTACAGGACAACAATGAGTTCTTTCTCTACGAAACATCTTTCTCGAAAAGGAAAAAGAGTTAAGAGATTAAAATGATTTTTTCGAAAATATATCAGCGAGCTATGAATAGGAGGTCAGAAGTGTCAAGAAAGAATTAAAACTGGAAAACAATATCAAACAAGAGCGAAGTCTTTTCTGTCAACCTGCATGCTGCTTCATTCGTTCTTATGCCATCCTATGCCTCATTTTGAATCTTTGACGGCTCAGGGCCTGTGCGACAATCCAAGCGTAACGATGTAAACACAGTCCTTCAAGATCGCAAAGAGGAGACAGTAGTTCAAGTACAAGCGCTTTCGCGTTATCATCCATCCTGAACCACCTAATAACTTCATCCCGTCCTCTGTAGCGGTTAGCACACTCAAGTCAAGTGCAGCAAGTTTCTTAAGAAGTCCTATTCGGGGCCTTCACTTCATACTTTCATACTCGCCTTTGGAAGCCCAATACTTGCAGACTTTTGGCCAGTCTTTTTGTTACCTTCTGGGTTTTTTATTTTTTTAAGCATTCTCCCTAAAACTCTGAATCAAAACGTTGCGACTTTTTCTTCACCTTTCCGCCATTTTGTTTTGTTGTGCTTTGGCCGACTTCAATCAATTAAATTTCAACATTTTGCACTGTTTCGGATTAATTCAAATGTTCTCGGCCGATGACCATGCTGATATTTTTCCAAGGACAGGTATATTATTTTAAAATTTCAATCTAAGTGTCGCTTTTATTTAACTGTCAACCGTTTAACTGTCGAACAGGGAGCCTTAGGCCTCTTTATCCAGATAAAAGTGAAGAGATTGACAGTTTACCTTTAGGCCTCTACATTCTCCTTTCCAGCACCATAGGAAATGTATTGAGAACAGAATGGAGAATACTTGTACTAATATTAGGTTGTAAAGGGTCAAATGACTTAAAATTTGCTGTCTGTTGTTACGCGAAAATATCAAACAAGAGCGAAGCCTTTCTGTCAATCTGCATGCTGCTTCATTCGTTCTTATGCCATCCTATGCCTCATTTTGAATCTTTAAGCTTGAGGCCTGTGCTGCAATCCCAGCGTAACGATGTAAACACAGTCTTTCAGGATCGCAAAGAGGAAATAGTTGAAATGCAAGCGCTTACGCGTTATCATCCATCCTGAACCACCTAAAAAATTTGATCTTGTCGTCAAACAGATCAGACCTGCCCCTCTGTAGTGTTCAGCACAAATTTCTAAAGAAGTCCTATTAAGGGCCTTCAGTTCATACCTTCATACTCGCTTTTGGAAGCCCAATACTTTCAGACTTTTAGTCGATTTTTTTTTTTTGCTTTGGTTATTTTTGGGTGTTTTTGTTTTAAGCATTTTCCTTCAAACTCTGAATCAAAACGTTGCGACTTTCTCTTCACCTTTCCGCCATTTTATTTCGTTGTGCTTTTGCCGACTTCAATCAATTAAATTTCAACATTTTGCACTGTTCGGGATTAAATTACGTCATCTCGGCCAATGAGCATCCTAATATATTTGCAAGAACAGGCATATTTTGTTAAAATGTCAATCTAGGTGTCGCTTTTATTTAAATGGTCAGATGACTTAATCTTTACTGTCTGTTCCTACGTAACGCGTCGACTTTATGTACAATGTAGCAATTTGTCAGGGTTTGCCGGTAAACGATGATCAGAATACATGGAAAAAGAGTTTTGGCGGTTTTAGCCTTTTTGATGGCAATTTATGTATTTTTCCAACTAGGACTTATACGGAGTACCCGTTCCTCCTTCTCTGACATTGTTCGTGAACAACCAGATGTCGAAAACCACGTGCGGCAGACGCCATTACGAGAACTGAAAATGAATTACACGACAACTCCTACTTCGCAAATCAATTACAAATCATTTCTTATAACCAGGAGATCTTGTATGCAACATTACGATCTTCTTATCATTATCTCATCCGCTCCAGGTAATTTCGGAAGAAGGAATAACATTCGTAAGACATGGGCATTCGAAAGATCCGCAAAACCAAGATGGACGTCCGTTTTTCTGGTCGCTCAAACACGGGATGAAACAGTTTCAAACGTGTTGCTTGACGAAGATGAAGCTCTTAAGGACCTTGTACGAGCTAGCTATTATGACCACTACTGGAATCAAACCCGAAAGATACAAATGGGCTTCGAATGGGCAGTAACGTATTGCAATTTCTCGTTTCTTTTGAAATTGGATGACGACGTTTTCGTGCACGTTCCAAGAGTTCTCTCCTTCTTAAGCGCACCCACCACGCCGAAGAAGATGTTTTACGCTGGCAATCACTACACAAATCCTGTTCCTTTAAGGGAAGGTAAGTGGAAGGTAACTTACGAGGAATATAACGAGACAAGATATCCAGATTTTTGCCCCGGTTTTGGATACATTTTGTCTCACGATGTTGTACGTGCATTTGTCGACACTTTCTCTTCCTTGCCGTTCTTTAGACTGGACGATGTTTATGTTGGCATGCTGGCGAGTAAGAACGGAATAAATATTACAAACAATGTGGGTTTTGAACTACTGCATCCACCCCAGTATGTATGTGTTCCAACAAATGATACTTTAGTCAGGCATGATGTAGGAGAAGAGTGCCAAATGAAAATGTTTAACTTAGCCATTTTCCCTCGGTAGTTCAATGGCGTGGTTAGTACATACGTATATTTAGATGTATTCTTGAGTGAGTGATGTTTCCCTGTTAAATATCCGTTGTTCATTTGAGCTTTCTTGTTTTGAACGCGCATTGCTCGAAGAGTCAGAACCAGGACATTGGATATTTACCAGTAATCAAGCTGAGTGTCAAAGCAAGTTGTATATCTGCCACTATCAGCAGTAGATATCGAGAAACGACTATCGCAGTTTATTATTTTTATTTTTTTATAAATGTTATAGAATATCATTTATTTTTCCTTAAAAGTGCACAAAAGTGACATGTGGAGAGGCTTGGTGGATGACTTAGTAAAGTTTGTATTACAATGTTTTGAATGTGCTTTGCTCGAAGCGTCAGAATCAGTAAATGTGATGTAATATTTAGCTATTATCTACCTGAGAGCAATCAAGACTTTATATTCTTTGATCCAGAGCCATACAGGGTTAAGAAGCAAGAGACATGGAAAAATTTATTTCAGAAATGTAGTTGATATGATGAACTTTTCTATCGGGTTTTTAACCAATCTTAAAACATTGACTCATACATGTAACCAAAGATTACTCAACAGAACTATTCCGTTTCAGTGTAAAATAGAAACTTTCACGCTACCACAGAGGTCAAATAATCTCTAGGCTTTTAATTTTACTTTTGCCAGTTGAAACAGAGTTCTAATCATTATGCTCTGTAATGCTGCCTAAAAACCTGGCCTCTAAAACAAAGATTCGATATTTTTATTCAAAAAGCAGAGCAAAGATGCTGCCTTCTTTACATACAAGTTTAAGACCTCCATAATGGCATTTATAATAAAGTTCAAGAAGTGGGAAGAAACACTCGACTACGTCTCGTGTTTCTCCCTACACCTCTTTCGTGCTCTAGCCGCTTCCTGCGTGCTTTATAACAGAACAGAGCACAGTCAAGGCTTCTCTATTTGTTAAGTAGGGGTTGAGATATGAACATTGAAGGCGCCATTGCCCAATGCAAATCTCTTCTTTTACAAGGAAAGCAAGTCACTGCTGAGAAGGGGAATAGTCTTGTTGCTGCAGCAAGCACGTTTGCAGAAAAAATATTCTCAGATTGCGCCTTCATCGAGCTTCCAAAGCAGTACAAGCGGAAATTACACGAAAGGAAAACAAGCAGTTAGTAAATACGGAACAGACTGAAACCTTTATTCCATCTAAACAGTCGATTCGTAAAATCATTTGTCAGTAAATTCACAGCCCACAAAATCCATTAGATCTGCAATCGTGATAGAAGAGTGTCTTTCTCTTGCTCTTCTTGAAGTACGAATAGGCCAAGTCGGTCTAAACAGCGACAACAGAGGCTATGCCGGCAGAAAACACTCCATCTTGCCACAGAACCGATTTGAAATGCATAAACAGCAGGATAAAAAGACATTCCAGCAGCGGGGTAGTTCTAGGTCACCGAGATCTATTCCATCCAAATAACCTAAGGGTAGAGAAAGAGCTCGAGCTTTGGCTAAAAACGCCAAATGCAAAGGTTTCGATCCTGGAAAATAGAGAACCGTCGCGTTTCTCTCCTAAAAAAGCTCCGTAAGCATCAGTCCATGGTTTTGGGAACGGATCTTAGATTTAGTCCTCCGCTAAAGTATCCGCCTACGGCCAAGTTTAATATACAAATCATAGACAGTCGAATCCAAATGATCACACAATTAAATTCCTTCCCGTCGATAACAAGCTTAGGTCGGCGCTTCAGTCAATAGATTGGGTGTAAATCGAGACACACAGCCATCTGCACTATGAACTTTTTTATTCCTGGGTCATTTTCAGGCGCTGGTGTGTTTCTCGTGACAGTAGAACAAAGCGCCGACGACAGCTCATGTCAAAGTTCTGTCAGTTTATCGTCTTTTTCAAATATAACAAGATTCCTACGTGATTGCGATCATTAAATGACTCCAGCTCAAATTTACTTTATTCGTTTAAATAAGACACCTACGGTAGGACGACCCGTTGCTGTCTCTCACTCGTATATTACTTGGCCTATAAGTATTTTTGTTGATGAACTTCTTACGATAAAAATACACATGCCTTCTGTGCTTGGAAATTCTACTGAGTTAATCCAATTTATTAAAAACACGGGTTTGACTTCAGTTCAATTTCTCTCATGTTACCGCGGATTTATTTCCTTTTATCCCGATGTGGATATAAAGAAAGCTTTGGTAGCCCCTGATATCCTCCTTCGTAAGAACCATGTGTTCGTTATTCCATTACAGAATCAGATCGCTAGACTTGTGGCTGTAAATGATTATTCGTCTTCGAAATTTATTTCAGGTATATATCATCAGAAGTATGGTATGCCTGGTATTGCCATAGGTAAAGGGGGTAACTTTCTAAAGCAACTGTGGTTCTACGTCGATGGGAGAGTGTAACAGGGTAATTTAGTCTTATCAACTGAGTTGATAACGTAAATTGGCCACCATAAAGAGTTCAAAAGCTGACGTTTCGAGCGTTAGTCCTTCGTCTACATTGCCATGGATACACCGTCTGTTTGCTGTCACAGTAGCGAAATGAAAAGTATATATCATAGTACAAGCATTAATTCCCCTGTTATCATATGGCAAGATAGTCTTAAGGTGAATCCGAGCGTTCTGAATCGGTCGGGACTATGCCATACGGACCGTTTTCACAGAAACGTTCATTAACCGTGTATTTTTATTTTAGATTACCGGCAAATTCAAAATTAGCAGCTAAAAGTGCTAAAAGGAAACCCATAGATATTCAAATTCTTTTTAAAAAAGCTAATAAACAAGTAACAAAACGACTGACTACAGCTATAGAAGACGAACAAGAATGAGATCATTTCCCCAGCATATTTTATCATCATATGTTTTGAAAACGGATGTTACTAAAAGCGGGGATAAGGAATGGGGAATGGAGAATGAGGAATGGAGAATAAGGAATGGAGAATGAAGAATGAAGAATGAGGAATGGAGAATCAGGAATAGAGAATGGGGAATGGTGAATGGAGAATGGAGAATGGAGAATGGAGAATGGAGAATGGAGAATGGAGAATGGAGAATGGAGAATGGAGAATGGAGAATGGAGAATGGAGAATAGAGAATGGAGAATGGAGAATGAAAAATGAGGAATAGAGAATGAAGAATGAAGAATGAGGACTGGAGAATCAGGACTGGAGAATAAGGAATGGAGAATAAAAAATGGAGAATCAGGAATAGAGAATGGGGAATGGTAAATGGAGAATGGAAGTGGAGAATGGAGAATGGAGAATGGAGAATGGAGAATGGAGAATGGAGAATTGAGAATGGAGAATGGAGAATGGAGAATGGAGAATGGAGAATGGAGAATTGAGAATTGAGAATGGAGAATTGAGAATTGAGAATGGAGAATGAAGAATGAAGAATAAGGAATGGAGAATCAGGAATAGAGAATGGGGAATGGTGAATTAAGAATTGAGAATTGAGAATGGAGAATGGAGAATGGAGAATGGAGAATGGAGAATGGAGAATGGAGAATGGAGAATGGAGAATGGAGAATGGAGAATGGAGAATGGAGAATGGAGAATGGAGAATGGAGAATGAGAATGGAGAATGGAGAATGGGGAATGAAGAATCAGGAATAGAGAATGAGGAGAGAATGGAGAATGGAGAATGGAGAATGGGGAGTGAGGAATGGAGAATGAGGAATGGAAAATGAGGAATGGAGAATGAGGAATGGAGAATTGAGAATGGAGAATGGAGAATGGAGAATGGAGAATGGAGAATGGAGAATGGAGAATGGAGAATGGAGATAAGAATAGAGAATGGAGAATGAGAATGGAGAATGGGAATGGAGATTTGAGAATGGAGAATGGAGAATTAAGAATGGAGAATTGAGAATGGAGAATTGAGAATTGAGAATGGAGAATGGAGAATGGAGAATGGAGAATGGAGAATGGAGAATGGAGAATGGAGAATGGAGAATGGAGAATGGAGAATGGAGAATAGAGAATGGAGAATGGAGAATGGAGAATGGAGAATGGAGAATGGGAGAATGGAGAATGGAGAATGGAGAATGGAGAATGGAGAATGGAGAATGGAGAATGGAGAATAAAGAATTGAGAATTGAGAATTGTGAATGGAAAATTGAGAATTGAGAATTGAAAATTGAGAATTGAGAATTGAGAATAGAGAATGGGGAATAGTAAATGAAGAATGGAGAATGAAGAATGGGGAATGACTAATGGAAAATGAGGAATGGAGAATGGAGAATTGAGAATGGAGAATGGAGAATTGAGAATTGAGAATGGTGAATGGAGAATTGAGAATTGAAAATTGAGAATTGAGAATTGAGAATTGAAAATGGAGAATGAAGAATTCAGAATGGAGAATGGAGAATTGAGAATTGGGAATTGAGAATTGAGAATAGAGAATTGAGAATTGAGAATGGAAAATTGAGAATTGAGAATGGAAAATAGAGAATGGAGAATTGACAATTGAGAATTGAGAATTGAGAATGGAGAATTCAGAAATGAGAATGGAGAATGGAGAATTCAGAATTGAGAATTGAGAATGGAGAATGGAGAATGGGGAATGGAGAATGGAGAATGGAGAATGGAGAATGGTGAATGGAGATTGGAGAATGGAGAATAGAGAATTGAGAATTGAGAATGGAAAATGGAGAATAGAGAATGGAGAATGGAGAATGGAG